CCTATATGTAAAATTTTGTTAAGAACAATTTTACTTAGGCAGCCAGAATGTGTTTACTTAATAAAATATTGAGAAAAATGCAATTGTTTTTAGAGAAAACTTGGTACAAGTGATCGTTAGGAAGAGTTAGTGATTTGCGTCCTTAGTTACCTAATCTTAAATTTTATATTAAATATAGAGAATTGATATTGCCACCCCTCACTTTTGCTAATGCCACCCCCCACATGCCCGGAGCTGGTCTCCAACCCTTATCACATGACTTTGGAATGTTGATCACGTGATAAGCGTAAACTTCTAATCGGACCGAAATTCATATGACCTGCATACCCAAAACTTCCCTAATTAAGATGTTACATGAACTTTGTTATGCATATCGATATCAATATAGCAATTATCAAATTTTATCTACTACATCCGACTAAAATCTTGAGTACAAAAAAGTTGAAATAAATTCCATATGAAAATTTAGCACAACATATAGGCCTAATAGTAATATTCAAAGCACTGATTAAAATATAAAAATGAAGCTATAGAAACGTATTTAGATAAGTAATGTATAAGAAATATCTTTACTGCTTACTTAATATTAATACTTCTGTTGGGCTTTTTCTAATGAATTGATCTCTTTAATAATTTATTATTAATGAATTATTATAAAATGAAGTATGTTAACAAATAAAGTCAAGCTAAAAAATGTCTATAACGACCTTTTAATGTAACGTTAATCGCCAGTAATTCTAATTTATATAGTGTCACATTTGCCCTCATTACAAAGCGGAGCATGATAATGAAATAGCTAATGAATGCCTACAATAGAACTTAGAACAGTTAACGAATAGCAGCTATTTACTAGTAGCAACTCCAGAAGTAACCAACTAAACAAGATGATTTTATTACTATCAACGTAGCAAGGAATTTTTTGGATCTTTGTCAAGAATTAAGTGTACAGTATTTAGATAAAATATTGTCCTCTATTTTCCTTTTATCATCTAATCTATAAGCTGATTATCAAAAACCACAAAATAAATCTTTTTCAGAAATAGAACAAGTAGGAGAAATAGTCAAGAAAATAGAAGAGTGAATATTTTTCCAAGAAATTGACGAAGCTTGAAAAAAAAACAAAGATAAAAGCAGTCAGCAGCAAATTAACATCCATAATCCTTCTAGAGACATAACTTTTAATTCTAATAACTCGGTTAATTCTCCAAATAGCATGAGTTTCATTTATTTTGACTTATGTACGTACGTATATAAATCATCAATTGAATTATCATATAACTAGTATATATGCATTAAACAAATCATCGCATTTCACAGCAGCACGCACATGATTATAAAAAAAATCTAACGCTAATTTAAGTTGATGATTCAGCCTGTAGACAAAAATTTGTATGTTAGGTAAAGTATATATGCACACATTAACAAAGCAAAAAAAAAAATTTCTACGAACAAAATCAGTATTAGGGCAAGTTTGAGAGTTATAACCAGTTTGATAGCATGTGCCACACTGTCTTGACTGCTTTTCAACATGCTCGAATGCGGACGGATCTCTCTGTATTGTTCTCTTGTTTTTGTTTCTTGCGCCAACTGGTCTTTCTCATGGTTTCTTAGTAACCGGATTTCCTAGCACAATAGGTGGAGTATTCATAAGCTCTTCTAGCTGAGAGTATATAATAGATTGTTGGTGCGGTGGCCAGAATTGGTACCTTTGTGTAAGAGACTGCAAGAGGGGTTGGAGATTGGTGTGATCATTATTGACAAGATCTGTGGGTTTCAAAAATTCTATATAACGGCCTTGGATCCACCAGTGTTCGTGAATATCAGCTTTCTGTAATGTTTGATTAGCTTCTAGGCGTTCGTGAATTATGTGTGAACAAGGAAGCCCCATCGTAGATCTAAAGGTACCCATGCAAGGTTTTAAAGGTGAATCTGGGGTCGCACTTGACACTTTGATTAACTCATCATGTATTTTATTTAAGGCGAAGACAGAGACATGATGTAGAAGAGGTTCAAAAAGAAAAACCCGATGAACATGTTGTATCTTTATATGCTGAGAAGAAATTGCTGCACGAATTTCTTTTGCTTGGGATTCCACTAGTAATACAATTTTGCGGTGCACTGATTCAAGATCACCTGTGGATAGATATGTGAAAACGGATTAAATTAATTTCAAGATATATTTGTTTTTTTTTTTTTTTTTTTTTTT